CACATGCAACGTATTGCTTCAACAGTACCATACAGAACCGTTTTTTGATCGTGTGATCAGTGGATACAAAAAATAAGTCCTATATGATAATCCAAAACTCAAGTCAGTTTTAATAGGGGTTACAAAGGATTTACATCCCGAAAAGGCGCTTCTGGGTGTTTGATGGAGTATTTGCAGAACTGTTCATTTTGAATTGCTGAAACCTGGACAAACTGTTAATGCAGGCCTTTATTTTGAACAATTGGATAGAGTGAACCAATCTTTAATCGAAAAATATCAATTGTCAACAGAAAAGGTGTCATTCTGCAACACGACAATGCAAGTCCGCACTGTGCAAGACGAACACTGGAAAAAATTAATGAATTGGGGTGGGAGGTACTGCCATGCTCACCCACCATACTCGGCCGATATCCCAGCATTCGATTTCCATTTATCGAGATCCCTACAACATTTTCTTAGTGGCAAAAAAATTTGAAAATTTGGATGATGTCCAAATTGTCTCTCGAGATATTTTACTCAAAAACCAATTGATTTTTATCGGTCCGGGATTGAAAATCTGCACATTAGGTGGCAAAATGTTGTTGATAACGAGGGTGGTGATATTATTGATTAAAAATAAAAACTTGTTAAAAATGTATTCGTTTGAATTTAATGTAAGAAAGCGACATTACTTTCCGGTACCCCTATTACTTCTGAAGTTTCCTCACCTTTATTCCACGAAAGGAAAATGTTTGCTGTTCTCATCTTCCATGGTTTCAAAAACAGTGCTATGAAAATGCACTTGTATCTTTCAGACAACTAAAATTGGATTACAAGAATTGAATAATAAAGCTACATAAATATTTCAAGATTTGTCTGGCCAATAGAGTTGCCTGTAAGTTCTAGGTAACTAGAGCTCATTTTCCGGAACTTAGAACTTTGGCATCATCCCATGTATTGTAATATACCATGAACTGTTTTATTATAATACTAGCAGCTTCGCTGCCAGCCTTCGTCTGGCTTTTAAATGTACCGGAAAAATGGCTGAAGGGAACGCCAAACGTTAAATTTAAAAACTGCTTAGAATTTTACTCTGCAGAACAACTTCATCAAAAAAAGTTATTACGTATAACAAAATTACAATGAAATAAGCAATATCCCTTAATACAAACATTAATTATCCTAAAAAATAAATTAACCAACTTCCCTTTGCAACTCAAGAACTCTAACTCTAACCCAAGAACTCTAATGGTATAAAAGAGATTAAGAACTTTGTTTCGTAAAAAAATCACACAAAACTTTTCAGTATTTTAAAAACAGTGAAATGAGCAATAAATAACATAAAAGAATAAAAAAAACAAAAAAATTTGAAAAGCAAAGTATAATTAATGATATTTTATCTTATGTTTTCAAGAGAAAAAATTACAATGAAATAAGCTATATCCCTTAATACAAATATTACGTAGCATATTCGGAAACTAAGTACCGTTTCATTCTAGCACCGTCGCAGCGCTGTGGTAGGCGTCCCGCGCATGCGCACTAGTCTTTCTTGTTCTTTGACTTTCAATTGTCGCCATTTTGGTTGCTCTATGTTGTGTTTTCAGTTTGCTGTGCACATTTAAAATGTTTAAGACAATTAGTTCTCCCGCTGACTGCGAGATTCATGTCGTGATTAAATTTTTGAGCGCGAGGAATTTTAAACTGGCCAAAATTTATCGTCAAGTGACAGAAGTTTACGGTGAATATGCGATAAGTGATGGAATGGTGAGAAAGTGGGTAAGAATGTTTAATGCAGGTCGAACAAATGTCCATGCCGAGGCTCGGAGTGGTCGGCCTTCTGTTGTCACCGATGATTTGGTAAGGACAGTCGATGAAGCAATTCATGAGAACAGACAATGACAACTCTTTCAGAGGCATTTCCACAAATTTCTGTACTGTTTTGTTCGAAATTGTGTCTGACCACTTGAATTATTGCAAACTGTGTTCCTGATGGGTTCCAAAAATGCTCACTGATGTTCACAAAACAAAGCGACTTGGTAGTGCTCTGACATTTCTCACGCAGTACAGTGATGAGGGAGAAAACTTTTTAAACCAAATTGTGACAGGTGATGAAACTTGGGTGTGTCATTTCACACCAGAATCAAAACAACAATCGATAGAGTGGAGACACACTCATTCTCCGAAAAAACAAAAGTTCAAAGTGACAATGTCATCACAAAAAATCATGTGCACTGTCTTCTGGGATAGGAAACGCGTTTTGCTTACTGAATTTCTTCCCAGAGGTGAAACCATTAATGCGGCACGATATTGTGAGACTTAACAAAACTAAGGTGTGCCATTCAAAACAAACGAAGAGGAATGCTCAGTAAAGGAATTGTGTTGCTCTATGATAATGCTCGGCCCCATACTGCTGGTGTCACTATCGTTAATTCGACAGTTTCATTGGGAGCAGTTCGATCACCCGCCGTACAGCCCGGACTTGGCACCGTCCAACTATCACTTGTTCCTGCACATGAAGTGTAAGCTTGGTGGCAAGCGCTTTGGATCTGACGAAGACACGAAAAATGCTGTGGAGTCGTGGTTATCGAAACTGGCGGGAAATTTCTTTGATGATGGTATACAAAAACTGGTCACCCGCTATGACAAGTGTTTGATCATTGGCGGAAATTATGTTGAAAAATAGTTTAAGACATGTATTTTCATGTAAAAATAAAATTGGATTCGAAAAAATTGTTTTACTATTTATTTTTTTTTTTCAAAATGGTACTTAGTTTCCGAATATGCTTCGTAATTATCCTAATAAAAAAATTAACCAACTTTCCGTTGAAGAAAAAAAATCATGCAAAACTTTTCAATATCTTACAAACAGTGAAATAAGCAAAAAATAACAGGAAAGAAACTCAAAAAACAAATAATTCCACACACAATTTTACTCTGCAGAACAACTTTATCAAAAAAATCAATAAAAATGTATTATACAGTAGAAGTCCATTAGTCTGGCATCCAACAGTCCGGAATGCCCGATAGTCCGGCATCGCTCCGGAAAATTGTAAAAATTTTGGTTTTCTCCAAAAGTGTGTCTTTAAAGCAAATAAAACTGCTCGAGAGCTATTCAGAAGTTTTCTGGGTAGTTCGAGATCATCCGGAAGCACTCGGTATTGTTCGGAAACAATTAGCGGCCGGCTAGTCTCAGCTGTCACAACAAATTCAGGTGCAGTGCAGCTCCGTTAATCAATCATGAAGTGTCTTCGCCATTTTTTTGTGCGTTGTTGTTTTGTGTCCTTTCACATCGCAGTAAACGTAACTTTTGAAACTGTTTATGAAAAAAGTGATTTTCGTTCTAACTGTACAGTGACCATGTTTTCAAAACCTAAGCCTTCGAGTTCAAAAGGAGAGAAACGAAAACACATAACACTGACTCTCAATCAGAAACTAGAAATCATCAAACGGCTAGAAAAAGGTGAGAATAGAAATGTTTTAATGAATGAGTTTAATATTGGCTCATCAACTATTTATGACATTAAAAAACAAAAAGATGAACTAATGAAGTTTGCTTCTCAATCGGTAACAACAAGAAGATGAGGTAGAGGAGTGGCTTTTAATCGACGAGAATGAGCCTGTTGAACAAGAACTAACCGATGAGGACATTATCAACATTGTAGTAAACCCTCAGCCTACTCAAAATCTTGAAGAAAATGACTCAGATGCCGAAACGGAAGAAAAGGAAAAAATCAGCTGGGCAGAAGCTGCAGAATCACTAAATAAGTTTATCTCTTTTGCCGAGGCTAGTACTAGCTACAGTGCTTCAGAAATTATTGATTTCCATATCATTAGAAATAAATTTTATACTAAACGCCAAAAGTCAAGAAAACAAAAAGACATTCGTGACTTTTTTAAATCTAAGTGAAATATGTTTTACAGTACGTGTACATACATTATATGAAATGTAAAATAAACTTTGTTGTATGTATTTGCATACTGTATTTTTAGTTTAATTATTAACCTAATTGTTCTTATAATTACCGGCCGATAGACCGGAATTTTCGGTAGTCCGGCACCGAGCCGGTCCCAAACGTGCCGGATTATCGGACTTCTACTGTATATATAAACAAATGACAATGAAATATGCCAATCTCTTAAAAACAGTGACATAAGAAATACGATGAAAAAACTGTTGCTAAACCCATATTTCTAAAAGAATGAAACTATTCAAAATTCATTTTATTTAATCGGCCGAGATATTAATTAAAAACTGCGGAAGCGTTAATTTCCACGCTCGTTTTTCCCAGTGGCAACAATAAACTATCGGCGACAGAATGCAGAATGAAAATCATTAATCATTGCTGCAGAATGAAAATCATTAAATGACACTTTTCAGATGGAATGACGGCAATGAGATTATACTGTGGTATTCACATAGTTGACATAAAATATTCAGATTTACTTTTATTTAATGAATAAATGAGAATAATAATATAAGTAAAATCAAAATTTCAGTCGGCAGATAGTGTGAATATAGTGAGATTTCAAAATTCTGTCAGATATTGTGTTAATGAACTATTCATAATTTTTTCAAACAAAAACAGAAGTGATTCATAAAGAATATATCATTAAAGAAACTGTATTATTAAAATTTATTGAACTTAAAAAAAACTCATAAAATTTGAGAACTTTTAACTAGATGGGCTATATATCATTTTAATTATACCACATGTATATTTAAGGTGAAAATTAAATTGCCGATTTTGATCTTCAGATGAGCAATTAAAAAAATAAACATTGCAGCATTAACTCATCATTTTGATTTCATCAATATGCGATATATACAATTTAATGAATTTAAACTCTTTTTGGAAATTGTTATAAAATGTCGACTTTTGATTTCTTGTTTTTCATTTTTGAAAGTTATTTTATTAGTAAAAATATGCCATTAAATTAAATTTTTACGCGTTCTAATTGCAATAAAAATTTCTAAATTTCTTATAATAAGTGAAACTTTTTTTTTTTTTTTTTTACACTAGAAAAAGGTTCTGTTTTTGTTTGGGGTTATGGAATACTTGGACAAGGGCCAAATGTAGAATCTTCACCTGTACCGACTTTGCTACCAGAGCCACTCTTTGGTTTGAATGAGTTTAATCCTGATACTGCAGTACAACAGCTAGTGTGTAGTCTAAGTCACTTTGCAGCTGTTACTAGTAAGTTAATTTACTGTTCATTATCATAATATGTTAGAAATTTGAGATAAAACTGTTAACTGTTAACTGAAGATTTAAAATTTTGAGAGGATGCTATAATCAAAAACATAAAAATATAAAAAAAAAGTCTTTATTTATTGAAATTTAATTGTTAATAAATTACACTAATGATCTTTCAGACATTAAAAGGTACTTGTCTTCTGTAATGCCTCGGCAAGGCACAAATCGGGCTTGAGAAAGTGCAGTTTGTTGCCAAATGTTGTGAACATCCATGGAACCGAAACTGACTATGTTAAACGATAAACCAACAATTCTTTCATTATCTGTACAACAGAAGTTATTTAATATACACATATAGAAGAAATTTAATATAAATTTATGTTTGTTATAGTATTTAATACAATTTTATCAGCAATTTATTTAAAATAATAATATAATTCAGCAGAACTTAATATATGCATTAATTATCATATTTAATACATTTATGTAAGCAGTATAATTAAAATAACACCATTTATAAACACTCCGAAAAGTATATTGTAAAATTCTATTTATTGTTTAATTTAAGCAATTTGGTAGTAAGTTACTAAAAAAATACATAAACATACTGGAAAATTTATTTTTTATCGACTCTTTTTGGTTGTCACAGTCCAGTAATTGCTGCTAATAATGCCTCAACCATCAACTATAGCTTGTTTTTCCTTGCAGCATTTTATTGAGAATATTTAAGTGACCAGTTAAATCAGTGTGAAATGCTAAATCTGTTATACATGTATTATTATGTTGCTCATCAATAGTCAAAAAATCACTTTTCGCATCATGAAAATTTTATTTCATTTATTAAATCAAAAATTTGTTCTGATAAAACTCCTCAACATAATCACCTCATTTCATTATAATAAATCATTTCTTCAAACTCACTAACAATTTCTTCAGACAAAACAATAAATTCTTGATGAGTTAAAGGTTGTTACATATAAAGTCTACTGTTTTATTTACCATTTCCATATCATCCATTTATAAACTTTTAGCACAGAATGAGTGCTTCTTGATGAAAAATGCAACATATAGCTTTAAAAGTATTTTGAAAATTTTCTTCTTTCACTATATTTCTTAATTTCACCCCCCGTTACATTCCCCCACACAACCATAGCAGCTGCACCATCACTTGCAAATCCAGCCATTTTATCTCAGCTGAATTCGTGTTTATCTAATATAGTTGTTATTTAAAAAAGTAATAATTTCTCATTTATCTTGAAAAACATGAAAAATCATATGAAACATATTTTTGAAAAATGTATTCTGTCATTTTTCTATTACTCTTTGTTAAAATCATGGTTTGTAGTATAATCTCCTAATTAAAATTACATTTTAAATTGTGTTTACACAACTTTAATTTAACAGGATAAATTTTCATATAAAGCCGCCCTTGAGCATTTTGCACAGTTTTAAATGATTCGTATTAATGTAACATAGATCTAACTACAAGCACAAAGAACATGTTTTACAAGTCATATATTAGTTTGTTTCCATCTATTTAGCAATATGAATTGCTTAGCTGCTGCATACTTGTCAACTAGTGGCCAGCTCAGAGAAAAGGTACCAAGTTATTAGAGGGGAATGGACACACCAGAATATAAAAGTTCTGCCAGTAGTCGGCTGACAAATAAATTTATTGATTGTACTGAAGTCTCACCTTAGCCTAGTCATGTGGCCTGGCATGCAAGCATATGAAGTTTATTATTTTTTCATTTAAATGCCATCATAAATCTTTTCATTCTGTTTTCATTCAACAGCAACCCATGCATATATGTTTGTATTTAAAATTATCATTTCCTGAAGATGGCATGATTAATTTACTTTTTCCCCCTTAATTGTTTCAGCGGGTCTGTCAGGGCACTGTTATAATATGCATTATGTATGTATTTTTGGCTGTGTGCAAGCAGCAACTTGGAACTCAATTGGAATGTAATGGCTGCTGAAATGTTAACTAGTGCTTCTCTGTTTTCTTAAAAAATATTGTATTTCGATTCCAGTGAATTTATGCTATCTTGAAACCTATAAGCAATGCATTAAAGCAAATACAAAACTGAAATTTATTGGCTAATTGCCAGTTTCAGGGTTGCCACGCTACCTGGAAAACCGGGAAAAGTCAGGGAATTCGAAAATTGACCAAAATATTCAGGGAAAAGTCAGGGAATTTAAGTATTTTTGTCAAAATCTGGAAAAGTCAGAGAAGTTCATACAACGATCCCGCCAAAAAAAGCGATTTTTGCGCCGACGTCGGAAGAGGTAACTTTTTTGACGAATTATGTATCACGTGAGTGTCATTCGGGTAGCTGGCATAGAGCCAATTTTCGCAGCTCCAATTTGATTGTCTTTTAGAAAGGCAAAGCAACTTTCCCGCAACTTTTGGTTTCCAATATTCTCGAGAATCGCATGTGCAGTGCATGAACTAAAGAAAGTACCTGTTCTCGTATAAAACAAAATGGGTTTAATCCTAGTATACGGTATCATGGAGGTTACAATCAAAGAATATGTATTGTAAAGAAGGAAAACCTCTCTGCAACAGACGTGGCTGTGGTTCCGTTTCATCATAGAGGGAAAACAGCTGTGCATGTCTGATATATCTGTCGCCAAAGCTCGAAACCGGTGTCGAAGTTCGAAGGTCACGTTATCAAGAGTTCGTAAAATGAATATCGTTTAAAATTTCTTTAACCACTTGCGTTAAAAAGACGTGCCACGCACGTCAAGATGCTTTTGTCTCAAACCGGGAGCGACGTGAACACCACGTCGATAAGCATTTATCGCAAAAATGAAAATAACGTGGTGCACACGTCGCCTAACAACGAGATTGTTTATTTCTCGAGTTACAGCTCTGGATTGCACTCGCAGATGCGGAGCGGCGTAAATGAGACACTTTACGGCTTGTTATATTGTAGCGCACGGCACCGCAACCGTGAAGTTTAGTCTTAGCGCAAGTGGTTAAACTCTAAAGGAAAAGAAAATATTTTTTTGGCGCAAGTAAATTAATTCATGGATTAGTTATTTTCAGGGAAAAAAAAAAAAAAAAAAAAACTACGAAAATCCGTTTTTATAATTATTGCGAAAATCCAAGAAGAAACGTCCTTTGATAAAACGTTTCTTCTTGGATTTTTCGCAATAATTTAAAAACGATAAAACGTTTCTTCTTGGATTTTTCGCAATAATTTAAAAACGGATTTTCGTAGTTTTCTTTTTGTCAAAGAGCGTTTCTTCTTAACACGTGTTTCTCAATTTCCTGTACACATCGCGGAGAGGGAAATTCTGCCCGCCAGGTTCCGTCGCCAAATCCCTTGGCAAATTTTCCCTCCGCATTCTAGCGGCGTAATAGCATTTTACTTGTATAGAACCTTTTCTTCTTTACATAGACGTTCTTTGGTTAGAATAATAATGGGATTTGGCGACATCTTGATGCGCAGTAAACGGGTCATTTTGGTGTTGGCGACAATTTTCAAAATCGTGCCAAAGCCTTACCGTATACTAGAATTTTACAGCAAAATCTTTTTAAACCTTTTTTTTTTTTTTTTTTCTTTTTTTTCTTTTTAATAAATACCTTGCCATTTTGCAGTAAAATAAAAAAATAGTAATCAGTCATCTAGGCTAGCCATGTAATATAACTATATTCGCTAAAATATCATTGATTATTCTAATTCAATTTTTAAGTAATTATTTTTATGTTATTCATATAATTTAATGTTGCTTCTTCCCTCTAAATTTATTTATTATTAGTAAATAATATTTCCAAATTTCAGGAAATTTTCTCTGGCATAATTCTGAAATTAATTATAGCAGTATGATGACATACCATCACGAAATTTAATGCACATATTTTTTTCCTTATGTATGCTGCGAAATAAATATAAAATACCCCAATTTATTAAAATAGATTTCTTTCTTTCGTTTAGCTGCAGAATGTCTGCAAAAAAACGCTTTTTTTATTCCAGATTGGGAAGATTCTAATCTCAATCTTCAGTGGAGAAAACAACAACTATTATAATTATATTTGTGTTTTCAAGTGTTAAGGTGCCTTTTAAGAACATACCTCACGCAAATTAAATTTACCTAAAATCTAACCTAACTATTTAGCATTGTGTTGTGATTTATAAGGATCGGATTAGCCTCGTGTTGAACTGGTGATGATCATGAGTAATAATTAAATAAAACATACATTTGTTATCCAATATATATATCTTAAATTTTATTAAGTTTCTTAAGTGGAAAACTAAACAAAATTATCAAACAAAATATACCAAGAATAATTAAGAATAAATGTCCTCTGGGATTTATTGAATAATTAAGTGAATTTGCTACACAATACAAGTAATACCATAATTAATTTACCTCTTAGCACAGCCAATGTACATTACGTGGATAGACTGGAATTTTCTTGAAACACACCTGGAAAACCTGGAAAAGTCAGGGAATTTCATTCTCCTGTTTGAGTGGCAACCCTGCAGTTTGAGACCACTCCTGTAAGTCAATCAGTACATTTCATGCTATGAATAAAATAAACATATTAACCACTTCACCATTCTACAAAACTTAAATATTTGCTTCTTTATTTTTTCTCCCAAGATGAAAATTTCTGCATCTGAAAGTAGCCTTAGTAACATTAACCAGCTGTCAAGATCTATTTAGAGAACCGCCTACTCGTCTCCCTAGTCTGGAAAAAAATTTCTGTTGGGTTCCGTACTCTGTTATCTGAAAATTACCAATCTCCTAAAAACATGCTTTCAGATGAGTAGCTAGTTCCATTATAATGCCAGCTGAAAGAGAACCAAAAATGCATTCCCTTTGTGTGATTCTGCTACAACACCGTTGTGGAGACTGCTTATCCAACCAAGTCATCAGGCACCTCTTTTTTAGTTTCAACTTATTCTGGAGGATGGTAAAAGCACGGGATAAATCTATCTGGGGAGAGGGGGTAACAGTCCTGGCATAATTTAACCCCAGCTAGT